GATTTTTGCTTTGTGGTTACCATAAGGCTTACATACAACAACTTATATTTATAAGAGTCTATTTTAAATTGATAACAACTTAACTTTGAATGCATTCTAAAGCTCTACATTTTTACTCTCCCCTACATTTTATGTATTTGATTTCACAATTTACATCCTTTTATCTTGTGTATGCCTTAACAAATTATTGTAGTTATAGTTGTTTTTACTACTTTTATCTTTTAACCTTCATACTAGTTTTATAAGTGACTAATCCACCACCTTTACAACATTAAATTATTATGAATTTTATTATAGGTTTACCTTTACCAGTGAGATTTATACCTTCATAAGTTTTCCTGTTACTAATTAGCACCATTTTATTTCAGCTTAAAGAAGTCCCTTTAACATTTTTTATAAGGCTTGTCTAGTAGTGATGAACTCCTTTAGCTTTTGCTTGTCTGGAAAACTGTTTCTCTCTCCTTCAACTCTGAAGGACAATTTTGCCTGGTAGAGTATTCTTGGTTGGAAGTTTTTTTTCTTTCAGCACTTTGAATATATTGTGCCACTCCCTTCTCGCCTGCAAAGTTTCTGCTAAAAAATCTGATGATAGTCTTATTGGGCTTTCCTTGTATATAACAAGTTGTTTTTCTCTTGCTGCTTTTAAGATTCTCTCCTTGTCTTTAACTTTTGACATTTTAATTATAATATGTCTTCGTGTGGGTCTTTTTAGGTTCCTCTTATTTGGAACCCACTGGGCTTCCTGGATCTGGATGTCTGTTTTCTTTTGCAGGTTAGGAATGTTTTCAGCCATTCTTTCTTTTTTTTTTTTTCTTTACTTTTTTTTTGTGAGGAAGATTAGCCCTGAGCCAACATCTGATGCCAATCCTCCTCTTTTGCTGAGGAAGACTGACCCTGGGCTAACATCTGTGCTCATCTTCCTCTACTTTATATGGGATGCTGCCATAGCATGGCTTGACAAGTGGTGCATCAGTGCACGCCTGAGATCTGAACCTGTGAACTCTGGGCCGCCACAGCGGAGCATGCACATTTAACTGCTACTCCACCAGGCTGGCCCATTCGTTCTTTTGTTTTGGTGAGGAAGTTGGCCCTGAGCTAACATCTGTGCCCATCTTCCTCTGTTTTATGTGGGACGCCTGCCACAGCATCGCTTGATAAGCGGTGCATAGGTCTGCACCTGGGATCTGAACCTGTGAACCCCGGGCTGCTGAAGCAGAGTGAGCGAACTTAACCACTATGCCACTGGGCTGGTCCCAGCCATTATTTCTTCAAATAAGTTTTCTGCCTCTTTCTCTCTCTGTTCTCCTTCTGGGATCCCTATAATGCGCATGTTAGTCTGCTTGATGTTGTCCCATAAGTCCCCTAAGCTCTCTTCACTTTTTTTCATTCTTTTTTCTATTTGCTGCTCTGATTGGATGAGTTCCATTGCCCTGTCTTCCAGTTCACTGATCGTTTTTTCTGCTTCATCTAGACTGCTTTTGAACCCCTATAGTGTATTTTTCACTTCAGTTTTTGTATTCTTCAGCTCTCTGACTTCTACTTGATACTTCCTTATATTTTTTATCTCTTTGTTGAAGTTCTCCTGTGTTCATCAGTTCTTCCCCCGAGCCCAGTGAGCATCTTTATGACCATTATTTTGAACTCTTTATCAGGTAAATCACTTATCTCTGTTTCATTAAGGACTTTGCCTGAAGTTTTATCTTGTTAATTGTTTGGAACATATTCCTGTGTTTCTTCATTTTCCTTGACTTTCTGTGTTGATGTCTATGCCTTAGATAAAACAGCCACCTCTCCTAGTTTCGAGAGGGTGGCCTTGTATAGGGGATAAACCTTATCATTCAACTCTGTCTTAGCTCTTGGTTCTCTCTCAAACTTTTGTGATTGTCCAAGTGGCCTATTTTATTTTTAGTGGTTCCCAGTAGTTGAGGGTGTCCCAAGATCTGTCAACATCCCAAAGGGGAGGATCTCAGTCAGCACCTAGATACAGGCTGATTGGAAACCAGATGCTCAGGCAGCAGCTTTTAAAGTATACAAATATATACAGTCCTGTGGTACTGCAGGCATAAGTCCCACTGGCCACCAGAGCTGGGCAGCCTAGAGCTGTGTGGCAGTCGCAAAAACTGGGGCACCAGAGAAGTGTACAAACTCCTTTCTGGGAGATGCTGGTGACCTGGAATGAGTCAGAGGGATAATGCAAAGATGGCATCCACCAGCCTCTGTCTCCAGAGAGCACCTTAGTAGGCTCCTAGATGTGTGCCAAACCAGGAGCCTGCTCTTCAGGCTGAAGCTCCAGGACAAGCAAATAGGCTTCTTTCACAGAAAGACTGGGACTGTGTTTCAGTCTGCTGTCTGTGCTGTGCCCTGGGGGCGATAGCTGGCCAAGAACTGTCTCTCCATTTGTTACAGTCCCATGGGACCCAGTAATGCAAGCCCTGCTGGCCAACATAGCCAGGCGATCAAGAAGTGTCCCCTGGGCAGCAGCCACACAAAACAAAGGCACCAGATATAAAAAACAGGGAACCAGATGTGTGTAAAAGCTCCCCTCCAGGAGATACTAGCATTTTGGAGCATGGCAGGAGAGCACGAAGATAGCACTTGCTCTCTGAGGCCTCTGGAAAGGATTACAGTTGGCCCTCAGATGTGTATTTAGTTAGAAGCCTGACCCTCAGGCTGCAACTATGATGATAAGCTAATAGGCTGCTTTCACAGAAAGACTGGACTTCTCAGACTGTTGCCTCTTGATGTGCCCTGGGGATGATGGCCAGTTAAGAACTCTTTCTCCATGGGTTACAGTCCTGTGGGACTTTTAGGCATTAGTCCTGCTGGCCACCAGAGCAAGGCAATCTATAGGTGTCCCCTGTCAGCAGCCACAAAAGTAGGGGTGCCAGTTGAGGATATAAGCTCCTTTTGAGGAGATATCAGTGAGATGGAGTGAGGCAGAGGGAAAGTGCAAAGATGATGTCCACCGGCCTCCATTCCCTGAGAGTATCTCCGTAGGCCCCTACATGTGTGCCAAACCAGAAGCCTGTGCTTTAGGTCAAAGCTCGTGGACAAGCAAATAGGCCTCTTTCACAGAAAGACTGGAGGTGTGTTTCAGTCTGTTATCTGTGCAGTGCCCTGGAGGTGGGAGCTGGCCAAGAACTATCTCTCCGACTGTTACAGTCCCATGGGACTCAGGAACTCAAGCCCCACTGGTCACCAGAGCCAGGTGATCAAGGAGTGTCTCCTGAGTGGCAGCCACAAGAACCAGGGAAACAGACATAAAAACCAGGGAACCAGATGCACCTCCCTTCTGGAAGATACTGGTGCTCTGGAGTGTGGCAGAGGGAGAGTGCAAAGATGGCACCTGCCCTCCAAGGTCTCTGGAAAGGATTACAATTGGCCTTTAGATGTGTGTTTAATTAGAAGCCTGCTCCTCAGGCTGCAGCTATGAAGATAAGCTAATAGGCCTCTTTGACAGAAAGACTGGGTTTCTTAGACTGTTGCCTCTTTCTGTGCCCTGGGGGTGGTAGCTGGTTAAAAACTCTTTCTCCATTGGTTACAATTCTTTGAGACCCATGAGCATAAGCCCCACTGGCCACCAGATCCAGGCAATCTAGAGGTGTCCCCTGGGGGCAGCTGCAAAAATCAGGCCACCCAAGGGTACAAGCTCCTTTCCAGGAGATACTGGTGAGCTGGAGCAAAGCAGAAGGAGAGCGCAAAGATGGTGCCTACCAGCTAGAACGAGGCAGAGGGAACCAGAATCTTCTAAGAAGAAGCTCATACTTTAGTTTCTTCTTGTCTAGAATAATCAGTTTAAGAAAAGCATCTAAAAGACTGGAAAGTTAGGAGCAGGGTTTCTCAACATCAGTACTATTGATATTTTGGGCCAGCTAGTTCTTTGTGCTATCCTGTACATCGTAGAAGGTTTAGAAGAATCTCAGGCCTCTACTCACTAGAAGCCTGCAGCACACTCTCTCCCCCAAGTTGTAAAAATCAAAAAATGTCTCCAGACATTGTCAAATGTCTCCTGGGAGGGGGGAGGCAAGATCACCCCCAGTTGAGAACCACTAGTTTAGAGGCATAGTTCTGTGTAGTTAAAGAGCATGGTTTTTGAAGGATTTTGTATGAATCAAGACTCTTTTGCTCACTGGCTGTATGACCTTGGGCAAATCACTTCACTTTTCTGAACCTCACTTTCCTCATCTGTAAATGGGGACAGTGAGGCCTGGTTTTGTGTTGTTGTAAGGATTAAATGAGATCATGTATACAAAATACCCAATACATAGTAGCAATAATAATGTGTTAATATTAGTAACCATTATTAATTAACAAAGATTACAAGTTCCTAGGAAATGGTGAATGAGGAAGGGAGAAAGTTTCTTAAGAGTAGATTCAACAGGGGCCGGCTCCATGGCCTAGCGGTTAAGTGTGCATGCTCTGCTACTGGCGGCCCAGGTTCGGATACTGGGCGTGCACCGATGCACCTCTTGTCCGGCCATGCTGAGGCAGCATCCCACATACAGCAACTAGAAGGATGTGCAACTATGACATACAACTATCTACTGGGGCTTTGGGGAGAAAAAGGGGGAAAAAAAGGAGGAGGATTGGCAATAGATGTTAGCTCAGAGCCGGTCTTCCTCAGCAAAAAGAGGAGGATTGGCATGGATGTTAGCTCAGGGCTGATCTTCCTCACACACACAAAAAAAGAGTAGACTCAACATATTTTTTTTAATTGCCTAGACTGTCATAAGAGAGTTCAGCTTTTTCCATTTGCTAGTAGGCCTCACCAATTAACAACCATGAAAGAAGAGAGTCTTAAATCTTTCTCTCAATGGCTCCTTAGCCAGATTTGGAAAGGCAGGATACTGAGCTCTACAGAATCTATGGAATCTGTATAATCTATTCTGGGGTGAGGGTCTCTGAGATTTCTACTATGTGTACGCACAGTCAAGCTTCAATCCACTCCTTCTCTTAGAAGTCAAATTCTCTAAGTAACAAGGATATGAGAAGAGTCTTACCGTAGAATTACACCAGAGACACCGGAAGTCTTGAAGTCTTTGGTAACTGCCACAGTTCTCATGACATACTGCACACTGAGAACTGACAGATATGTTTCCTTCTACCCATTGATGGGGCATAGTCTTCTGAAGGGTAAAAAGACACAGGAGGTACAAGTTAGAAATATAAGGGAGGAAGGGCCAGCTGGAATAACTATACTACTAATGGAGGACATTAGGTAACCTCAAGGAAGTTCTTCATGGTCCTGTCCTACCCTCTCCAATGCTAGTGGCCAATGACAGGTGGGAGTGGGAAGCTTTCATTATTCTAGATTGGTTGGATCATGAGCCTGGGGAAAAAGCCTACTTGGGCTGTCTGGAGACAGGAAGAAGTCTTTCTTCCACTGTGTGTCCTGGCTGAAGGGGAGATGGAAAAGGGTGATTGTGAGAGAGCATGGTTGATACTCACTACTTCGTCTGCAGGCATGAGAAGGTCATCAGTGATGGACAAGGTATTCCACTTGCAGTCTTTGCTTGCTCTCAAAGCACATAATCTGTGAGACTTCACTTTGCACACTGTGAAAAGAGGAAGAAAAAAGATAGGTGTGAATCCAGTGACAATAAAGGTTCCAATTCCCTTCCCAAAGCTGCTCTGAATGTTAGAACCTAGATGCATCTAAATAGTTCTGACTCACCTCCAAAGGCCTCTTTTCCATATGATTCAGTTCCTTTTTATTCTTACTGGCTAAATTTTCTACTATCCAACTTGAATGGAAATTGATGCTAAGAATGAGGCAATTTATGTTTTTCCAACCCTTGTTACTGTATTATCTGATCTTCCCAGACCCAACCCTCCATTTTGATTCGTGAGAATTCCCCCTCATGCCAGTCTCATCCCATCTCCTTTCCTCAGTTTATTAAGTGTCATGGTTAACCTTACACTAGAGTCAGTGACCTAGTGTGAGTCAGTGATACTAAAGCCACACGAGCTCCTTCATCCCTATCTCCACTCCCTGAGCTCCACTTCCTAAATGAATCAGAAAGGTACCTTCACAGATGATAACATTTCTAGATAAGGCAGGAATGCCCTCACGACAAACATTGCAGTGCTGGGTCCGGGGACTGTAACTGAAGTACCAATAGTGCATTCCAACAAGGAAAGGGTTGTTTTCTGCTGCAGGTATCTAAAATGAATCAAAGAGGAGAGAGAATAGAGCGTTAATCACAGAGACGGTTTAGGGAAGGCCAGAAAATCTGCTGCTAAGGCTGAAATGGCCACCTATATAGGTATTAGAGTGTATGAAGAGGAAGAATGAAAGTTGGAGCCAATACCTGACAAACCCCCCACCTCCATTTTTTCCCCAGTGGTTTTCGAAAGGGAAAACGAATAGGGGGATAGATCCCACTATAGGAACTGAAGGCAGGAGCAATGATCTTTAAACTGCTTGGCCAAACCACTGCATTGGTTTAGTCTAAGCTAAATTACTTCCATTAGCCTTGGTCTTGGCTCTCTTTGAGTAGTCAGCAAAGGGAGGTGGCAAGTTGGAAATTCAGTGATATCCAAGTCCTCTGGCAAGGCAAGAAAGGGAGGAGGCAGAGCTCTGACTCTGGGCTAAGGAATGCTTGTCAGGCTTTAGCCACCTCCTGGAGATATACATTCCCCTTCCTGGACCTACTGCTGCCAGGTAAGAAGAGCATTGCATTACCTGGACAACAGTTTCAACTCCGGGGCTTCTTGCTCAAGCATTCTTTTCTGAATACCATGCTCTTACTGCCTATAGCAGTTTCTTGGTTAATCAATTTAATTCATTCAAAATTCATTAAACAAATATTTACTGAGTAACTACTATGTGCTTGGCACTTTTCAAGGCATTGAGGATATAGTGATGAACAAGACAAAGTCTTTGCCCTCATGGAATGGCATTCTGTTTGGTGTCTTCTTTCATGGTATTGAATTTGACATTTACTGTTAACCTGCCTGTAAATGCTGCATTTGTTTATCACAGCCTGATTCTCATGACTGTGGGGCCAGCACAGGGATTGAAAGGAGAAGGGAAGGAGTGGGCACCAAAAACTCCAAAATTTGTTCTGGGTGTGCATTCCACAGGACTCTTCTACCTTTTCTCTAATTCCTGTGAATGTTTGAGTTTTTCCTTCTCTGCTTTCCTCTGGAGTGTAGACATGGGTGTACACATTCAGCTTTTTATTCTTGGTATTATAATTGGTTGGGTGTGTTAAAGCATGACAAGACTTTAAAAATAACTATATATTCTCCCTGATGCCACCTGATAGTGGTCCATTAGAGAGAGAGAACTATTGAGGGCTCTGGCACATTAAGTGTTCAAACTTGATCAGTTTACAGGAATTAGCCATCTAAAACACAGCCTGCACACGGCACTCTCTGATTCCCTCTTCCCCCTCCTGTTATGCTGGCTAGGTGCTAAGCTGCTGTTGGATTGACCAGGAAGCTTCTGGAAGGAAAAGCTACTTTGATGAGCTAAAGGCTCACCGGGTCTGAGATCACCTTGTGATTGCAATGTTTATTGCATGCTGAGACCCTGGGAAAGTTCTAAGAAGATCTGAGTAGAGGGTGGAGAGTCCTGAGGAAGTGACATAGTCTTGGCTTTGGCACTCTGAGCACCTAGTACCTTTCTACTTCCAAATCCACTAGATTATAATTCTACAGTACCTTCCTTCCTTCTAACCCCCTTCCCTCCTCCAATAATTACTAAGAGCCTACTTTGTATCATCTATGAAGTTAGGTACTGGAGATAAAGAAATGAATGATCCACAGTTCTTCCCCTCAAGGAGCTCATAGTCATAGCTCATGGAGGAGACAACTTCTTAAACAGATCATTCCAGTATAGAGTGACAAGTGAGTTCTCCTAGAATGTGCAAGGTTCTACAGGACAAATGGAAGAAATTCAGAACTCTGCCTTGGTAGAATATTGAATTTCACGGTCCAATTAGCTACAGAACATAAAAGAATATATAAACAGGACATTGTTCTGGTTCGACAGTTGAGAAGATGGGATTTATATTTCTTACGTGCATCCTATTCTATAAGGAAACTTTGATGCATCCAACCCTGGATGAGTATGTGTTGTATGATGAATTGTGTTCCCCCACAAATATGGTCAAGTCCTAACCCCTGGTACCTGTGAATATGTCCTTATTTGAAAATAGGGTCTTTACAGATGTAATCAACTTAAGATGAGGTCATAATGGATTAGAGTGGGCCCTAATCCAATGACTGAGGTCTTAATAAGAAGAGGGAAATTTGGACACAGACACAGGGGAGAACACCATGTGATGATAGAGGCAGAGATTGGGCTGATGTGTCTACAAGCCAAGGAATGCCAAGGAATGTTTGCAATCACGAGAAGCTAAGAAGAGGCAAAGAAGGATCCTCCCCTAGAGACTTCAGAGAGAGCACGGCCCTGCCAACACCTTGATTTTGGACTTCTACACTCCAGAGTTGTGAGAGAATAAGTTTCTGTTGTTTTAGTTCACTCTGTTTGTGGTAATTTGTTATGGCAGTCCTCGGAAATGAATATAGTATGTCATTACAGGCCTTTCTAGTGGTTGACACAGATTAAAAATCCATTTTGAAGACAGATGAAAAACTGTGGCGTGTATACAAACCACTGATCTCTGAATGCTAAGGAAGGCAGTTTGACTTAAGGCTTTCAGTGTGTGGTTGTTGGGTTTTGTGTTTGATTTTTATCCTCTCTAAAATACTTACGTGATACATTCATGCAGAGACCATCACTCTAATCAGATTCTTTGCTGTTTTAGTGCAGCTAAGGCTATTTTCTCCATCTCCTGAATCTCTTTCAGGATAATCCAGAACCCAGATAGGCACATTAATTATTTGTCTATTAGTTAAAGGAGATCCTGTTAGTCCAGGTGTTTTGTAAACTCTAAAGCATTATCCAAACGTGAGGACTTAATAATATTAATTATTTGCAAAGTGCATAAAAGTCTCAGATGAAACATCCCATAAAGCACAAAATCTTCTAAAGATGTATTTCCTTAAAGGTATCTTGTCTGGGGTGGTTTATGTGATGAAAGGCTGTGTTTACATAAAACAAAATGAGTGGTTTGTGCTGTAACTTGAACTCAATTGCTTTATTTTATTTTATTTTTTTGGTGAGGAAGATTAGCCCTGAGCTAACATCTGTTGCCAATCTTCCTCTTTTTGCTCAGGAAGACTGGTTCTGAGCTAACATCTGTGCCCATCTCCTCTATTTTGTATATGGGATGCCGCCACAGCGTGGCTTGATGAGCGGTGTGTAGGTCAGCACTCAGGATTCAAACCTGTGAACCCCGGGCCACGGAAGCAGAGCACGCAAACTTAATGACTATACCCCTGGGCCAGCCCCTCAATTGCTTTATTATATCAAGGTTTTGATAACTCCAGAATGTTAGGGCTTGCCAGGTTGGCCATTGGTGGGGTGACCATATCATCCAAATCAGGACACTTTCAACAGTGAAAGGGAAAGCTGTTAGTAATTATGCTGGGAAAACTGTTCATCCTGAGCAAACCACTATCAATGGAGACACTATGCATGAGCTAGAGAGTCATTTAGCTAACTTGAATCTATTTGTTGATCTATACAATCTAGTTGTTTGGCTTAGTACCACTTAGTTGTCTGTCAGACTACCCTATAATCACAAGGTATGGGGACTAGAGGAGAGAAAGAAGATAATTAATTAGGCAGAACTTAGGATGTCCTTCCAAGAGCATGGATTAAAACTTAGGAGATCTAAGATCTCAATTCTGCCACAAAAAACTGTGTGATTTCAGGCAAGGCAACTGAACGCCTCTGAGGTTCAGTTTTCTCATCTGCTTAATGAAATCTTAGAATAATAAGCTTTTCAAGTTGAAAGGAATGCTGGCGTTCATCTAGTCTACCCACTAGAAAAACTAATTTTTTAAGTGAATTTTTAAAATTGAGGTATATTTGACAATTAAAAATTGTATATAATTTAATTTGATGATTTGATATACGTATATATTGTGAAATAATCACCACAATCAAGCTAATTAACATATCCCTCACCTCAGGTAATTACCATTTTCTTTTTTGTGTGTTGAGAGCACTTAAGATCTTCCCTCTTAGCAAATTTTAGTACACAATAAATGATGTTACTTATAGTTACATTGTTGTACATTAGATCCCCAGAACTTATTCATCCTGCATAACTGAAACTTTGTACCCCATAACCAGCATCTCCCCATTTCCCCTCTCCCCAGCACTTGGTAACCACCATTCTACTCTCTGCTTCTATGAGTTCGACTATTTTAGATTCCACATATAAGTGTAATCCTGCGGTATTTGTCTTTCTGTGTCTGGCTTATTTAATTTAGCAGAATGTCCTCCATGTTCATCCATGTGTTTGCAACTGGCAGGATTTCTTTCTCTTTTAAGGTTGAACAACATTCTATTGTGTTTGTGTGTGTGCATGTGTAAGTATATATACACAAATACATATATATCACAAATATATACAAATCATAAATATATATATCACATTTTCTTCATCCATTCATCCATTGAGGAACATTTAGGTTGTTTCCATATTGCGGCTATTGTGAATAATGCTGAAATAAACATGGGAGTACTGATATCTCTTAGAGACCCTGATTTCATTTCCTTTGAATATACACCCAGAAGTAGGATTGCTGGATCATATGGTGGTTCTATTTTTAATATTTTGTGGAAACTTCATACTGTTTTCCATAATGGCTATACCAATTTGTGTTCCCACCAACAGTGCACTAGGGTTCCCTCTCTCCACATCCTTGCCAGCACTTATCTCTTGTCTTTTTGATAATAGCTATTCTAACAGAGGTGAGGTAATATCTCATTGTGGTTTTGATTTTCATTTCTCTAATGATTAGTGATGTTGAATACCTTTTCATGTACTTGTTAGCTATTTTTATGTTTTCTTTGGAAAAAATGTCTACACAGGTCCTTTAAAATTGGATTTTAAATCTGATTTTAAAATCGGATTATTTGTTTTTTGCTATTGAGTTGTAGACATTCCTTATATATTATGGGTATTAACTCATCACATACACGATTTGCAAATATTTTCTCCCATTCCCTAAGTTGCCTTTTAACTCTGCTGATTGTTTCCTTTGCTGTGCAGAAGGTTTTTAGTTTGATGTAATCCC